GAATCTCATCAGATGTCTGAGTTCCATCCTTCATGGTCAGATCGTCGTTGGGGTCCTGATTGGCATTGCCACAGAGGCCGCAGACAGCATTGGCGTACGTATTGGGTATGATGACCCTGGCGTAGCTGTACCAGTCGAAGCTCACTCTCAGGTCGAAATCAGTCTGAATAAAGCCATGGACTCCACTGATGTAGGCCTTGAACTTGTGCTGGTGGGAGAAGGGCAGGTCCACAAAGACACCATTGACCTGGAAAACATACAGTAGAGATTGTCAAGGACTTCACTCAGTGCACTCAACATGAAATAATTCCATTTCCACGGAGCAGCCATGGATGGTCTGGCTCCAGAATTTATATTTCTGAATTGGATGGAGGGTAACCTAGTGCATTAATATTTCATCCCATTGCCCCTTACTATAGCCCTTTCCTTTTCTAAAGCTCCTTCTATCCAAGGAGTGGTGCTCAGTTAAAGCATTAAAGACTAGAGCTGGGTGAAAAATCTCACACAAATAATGTACTTGCTCATAAATTCAGTTTTTGTTGACCAGAAACTATTTCTATATTTGATAAAAATTGGAGGGATAGTTGTGATAGAAAAAAAAATCAGGCTGGATGCACAAGGGGCCATATGCAGGAGCAGTTTCCTTTATAACTTTAGCCTAGTCATTAGGACACTCACCCGGGATGTGGCAGACCTGGGTTCAGTTCCCCCCACTGCCTGATACAGAGCAGTATTGAAAATCCAGTCTCACATTTAGCACCTACTAGGCTACTCTAGGGCAAAAATATTCTCAATCTCTCCTGTTGAAGCTGTTCTACTTTGTATAACTAACTAGTCAATAGAGCAGGAATTTGAATGTGGGTCTCCCCCTGCCCCAGCTGAGTGCTTAACAGACAGGTATAGAATCATTCTTATTCTTGCTCTCTGGGCCAGGGACTAGTCAAGTATTTTATACACAGTGGAACAGCTTCAACAGGAGAGATTGAGGGATGCTATGTGCCGCTGTCATGTCAAGGTCCAAACACGTCCTACGTTGATGGAAGGGGTTTTTCCAAATGGAGGTAGGTAATCCACCTCTCTGAGCAGCGGTAGCTACATTGATGGAGGAATTCTTCTGTCAACCTAGCTGTGTTTACACCAGGGGTTGGCTTAACTACAGTGCTCAGGGTGTGTGTGTGTGGATTTTTCACAACCCTGAAAGATATAGCTTGGGGTATGTCTACACTACCCGCCAGATCAGCGGGCAGCGATCGATCCAGCAGGGGTCGATTTATCGTGTTTAGTGTCTAGACTAGCGCTCTCCCGTCGACTCCTGTACTCCAGCTCTGCAAGTGGCGAAGGCAGCGTCGACGGGGGAGTGGCAGCAGTCAACTCACCATGGTAAGCAGTCAAGACACCATGGTAAGTCGATCTAAGTATGTCGACTTCAGCTACGTTATTCACGTAGCAGAAGTTGCGTAACTTAGATTGATCCCCCCTCAGTGTAGACCAGGCCTTAGATTGATCTAAATTTTAAGCGTAGCCCTGCCCCAGAATATCCCATAGTCCAGTAGCTAGGGGACTCTCCAGCAAATTCAAATTCCTTCTCCCCATCAGGCAGAAGGAGGAATGGAATCCAGGTCTTCCACATCCCAGGTGATTGCTCACCCACTGGCCTAAAGGGAGTCATTAGCACCGCTGGCGACTGCATGAACCTAGCCCGTCATTTCCTTGGTTTTTTATTGCCTGGAAACAGAACAAGGTTTCCTTTCAGGTGGAACAGAATTTTTGTAAATATTTTCAGAACTGGCAGTGTATCAAAGAACCAGTTATTTGCCTAGCTCTACTCACAACAGCCCTGTGAAGTGAAAAGATCTTATTACCCCCTTTAGAGTTGGGGAAATAGGCCAGGTCTACCCTGTAATCTTACATCGGTATAACTACGTTGCTCCGGTGTGTGAAAAATCCACCCCCTGAGCAACGCAGTTACACTGACCTAACCCCAGTGTGGACAATGCTATGTCGATGGGAGGACTTCTCCTGTCAACATAGCCACTGCCTCTTGGGGAGGTGGAATACCTATGCCGACAGGAGAAGATCTCCCGTCAATGTAGTAGAATCTTCACGAAGTGCTACAGTGGTGCAGTTGCATAGGTGCAGTGTTTTAAGTGTAGACCTGCTCATAGAGGTACAAAGGCAGGAAGTGACTTGCCCTAGGTTATTAAGCCAGTCAGGGGCAGAGAGAGGAATAAAATCCTAAATGTCTGAAACCCAGCTCAAACCACTTCCCCTGCTTCCCAGGAGTAGAATGCTGGAGCTTTAGTTCTTAGCACCGTCTGCTCTAACCTTCTAGTCCCCACAGCTGTGATAGAACCTAGGAGTCCTGGCTCCCAGCCCCCCTGCTCCAACCACTGGACCCCACTTCCCTCACAAAACCAGGGATGGAATCCAGGAGTCCTGATTCCCACCCCCTGCTCCAAGCACTAGACCCCACTCCCTCCCAGAGCTAAGAAGACAACATAGAGCCCAGTCAAGAGATCACTGAAATGACTTCCTGCATTCCCCAGTGATCCTGTGTCCCTACCTGGATCTTGCGTGGATGCTCCTGGCTCAAGCTGATGGTCACGTTGTAGACCTCTAAGGTCACTGTTTTGGTGAAGGACACAGCCTTACTGCCTCGGTTGTTGTTCTCCACTTTGACATTGAACGGGGTGAGTGTGGGGTCCTTGGAGCAGAGAGCCGCAAACTGGTAGATGCAGGTGCCCATAAAATCATACTTTTTCCCATCAAAGGTGGTGTAGTGAGGGTCTCCAGTACCTATGCAGGTGGAGTAGCTGATCGCATGGCAGCCACGGACCCCATTGACCACGGAGCATCTTTCTTTGGCCTTGCAACTGGTCTTCCTGCAAACCACTGTGCCCAGGCTGGAGTCACACCTGCACCGAGAGTGGCAGTTCTCATCGGCCCAGAACTCCTCACTGGGTTGGTAGTAGCGGCCGTTGTAGTCACAGCCGCAGCTCCCCAGGGGGATGCACTTATCAGTGCTGAGGACGTAACCGTCATTACACTGGCAGGTCTCCACGCAGGGCTCCCGGCAGGAGGAGGGGGCAGTTCGGTCAGAGCAGCTGGCCGGGCAGGCGTTCCCACAGGCCTCATAGTGGCTGTTCTCAGGGCAGGGCAGGGCTGGGACAGGGTTGGAAAGGGGAGATTTAAAAATACAGGAAATGAATGAAACAACCTGCCTAAACGCAGTGAGAGCTACAGACAAATTCTTACACGCAGTGCGTTATCCACCCTGCATGAAACAGCCAAAAGGAAAAGGATGGTGGAATTAACTTCTGCATTCAGGAACCAAAAGGCCATATATGTCTGCAGCCAAATCTCACAGCCCATGAGTCAATCAGGGTCAGCTCTTGGATATAAAGAACACTTAGGGTCTGCAGGGAATGCTCAATAAGAGTACTCTCCTTTGAGTTAGTGCTGACCTTAATGGCACAGTGTGGAACTAGGGGGCGCTGTTCTGCAAACAAAGGAGCCGGATCTGATTAGGAGGTGCTCTCCACTTGAGTCCGTGCTGACTCCAATGCCCCAGTGTTGCGCTAGTGGGCACTGTGCTTCAGGGAGTGGGGTGGAAGGCTCAGTAGGGGATGCTCACTCCTTGGAATCAGTGCTGACTCCAATTCTCAAGGGTGACACTAGGGGGCGTTGTACTGCAAGGAGCAGAGTAGGGAGCTCAATAGGTGGTGCTCAGAGTCAGTGTTGATCCCTATGCCCAAGAAACCCAGGCATTCACAACCCTATGCTCAGGTCATTCACCATCCTTTCCACCAACAGAATGACCAGATGGCCTACTGGAACTGAGCATAAACCAGATTTACCATTTCATGGGAAATACCAAGATTTTGGATTTTCTTCTGTTCCGAAAGGGAACGGAAATGAAATTCCTGTCCCAGACATTGTTGCAGGTCGATTGAAGTGTTTTATTTTGATAAAATCAAAACATTACTTTCTGATTTCAACCTTATAAAACTTTTTTAAAATGTTTTAGATATCTAAAAATAATTAATTTTGTTGTCAAGTCATTTCAAAATGAAAAATTGAAATGCTCCATTCTGAAATGTTATTGACATGCTTTGTCTCACTTTTTGAAATTAAATTTTGTCAAAATCTGAACTTTTTTCTAAACGTTTTGAATTTGACAAGAATGGTACTTTTCCTCAAAACTCCAGTGGAATGAAAAACATCCAGGCTTCTCTACTGACTAGCCCGATCCTGCCCATGTCAGTAAGGACACCAAGCTGTCAGACTCACCACAGCCAGATGGCATCCTCCAGTCATGGACGGTGACCCCGTGGTCTCTGCAGGTTGCTGCATAGGCCTCCAGCGCCTGGCACAAGATTCTCGTAGCGCCCCTGTTCAGACACACGTCATAGGTGCAACTATCGAAAAACTCACTGGAGTTCACTCTGGAGTGACACTCTCTGAAGGGCCCTCCCGGTGCTTTGCTGATCAACCCACAGTGACTGTCGCCCCCGTACAGCTCCCTTGTGCTCGCATCACATGTCAGGCAGTTCTCTTGGCAGGAATCCCAGCAAAGGGGGTCCCCGTCTTGGACTTTCCAACTGGCAGCCCAGCCCACGATGGAGGAGACTTTGGTGCTGCTGGCTGACATCATGTCATCTTCAGGGTTCTGGTTGAAGTTCCCACATAGGCCACATGTGGCACCATAATAGCTGCTGGGGAGGGTGATCACCAGATGCCAGTCCCAGTTGTATGCCACCTGGAGACCAAAGTCCGTCTGCAGGATGGCGCGGAAGCCGCTCTGATACACTCTGATTTTACCATCTGACAGTGTCACTGGGAGACTGGTGATCACGCCGTTTAACTAGAGACAAGGACAGGATGGGGTGTTATTGCTCTGTCATCTTAACTTGTTCTTATTGCATATGTCATCTCACCACTCATTTCGACTGTACCTCATTGTCACTCTAACCAGTGGCATGTACAATAAGGGGGCCAAATCCTTCATCATAAGAACATAAGAATGGCCATACTGGGTCAGACCAAAGGTCCATCTAGCCCAGTATCCTGTTTTAAAACAGTGACCAATATAGCCCCTGTCAGGTGCCCCGGAGAGAATGAACAGAACAGGTAATCATCAAGTGCTCCATCCCCTGTCGCCCATTCCCAGTTTCTGGCAAACAGAGGCTAGGGACACCATCCTTCTTCATCCTGACTAATAGCCATCACTTTTTACCCATTCCTTACTCAGGAAGAACCAGTGAAATCAATGCGAGTTGGCCTGAATATATTAAGAACAGGTTCGACAAACACCTGTCAAGGATGGTCTAGCTATACTTAATATTGCCTCAGCCCAGGGAGATGGATTTAGATGACCTCTTGAGGTGCCTTCTGGCCCTACATTTTTAGAATTCTATATACAGTACTTATCTATCTACAATATCTACCTACAGTATCTGTCTGTCTGCAGAATTCTCTGTGTCTATCTATCCATCCACACTACCTAGCTATATTGACTAGTCACCTACAGAATCTAACCATCCATCAATCAATCCACCCACCCACCGATCTCTCTGTGCTATATTATTTACCCACATTATCTAGCTATATTATTTACCCACCCACAGTATCTATCTACAATATGTAATTATCTAGAGGTGTCTAATACACAACCCGTGATGTTGCACACTATATGATTTTATGAAAAATATGCTAATGAATGTGAATATGATGTTTCTGGAATATGCTTCATGCAAAAGATCTCTTATAAGGTATCACTACAAATCTTATAATCTACTGAGTGTGGTCATCCTATTTGTATAAATGTATCACTCTTGTGTCTGAAACTAGAAATATAAAATATAACTCTGAGGGCCTATTGTAATTATGCAAAGTGTGGGCCATTAATGGTGGTTTGGAATCTTGGTGGCTCCCATCAGCCAGGACAATGGACTGTGAATGGCTCTGTTTGCAGGCAGGCCTTCCTGTGAGTCAGGCTGGGAGGAATGAAGGCTTGGGGTCTTACAGTGACATGTGATCATGTCACCTGAATTGGAATCCATCTTTAACCTGGTGTTTTTCCATTGAGAAGGAGGGGTGGGAACCCAGAGGGACAAAGGATTCCTGCCTTATGCAAAAGATATATAAGTGAGTGGAACAGAACAAAGGTGGCGGCCATCATGAGAAATATCCTAGCCATCACCTGAGCTGGAACAAGGGCTGTACCAGGGGAAAGGATTGTGCCCAGAACTAGGAAGGCATCCAGTCTGTGAAAGAAACTTATTGAAACATCTCTGAAGGTGAGATTTTATCTGTATGCAGTTTTATTACTGTACTAGGCTTAGACTTGCGTGTTTTATTTTATTTTCCTTAGTAATTCACTTTGTTCCGTCTGTTACTACTTGGAACCACTTAAATCCTACTTTCTGTATTTAATAAAATCACTTTTTACTTATTAATTAACCCAGAGTATGTATTAATACCTGGCCGGGGGGGGGGGGTGCAAACCCCCTCAGTGTTATAGAGGGCGAACAATTTATGAGTTTACCATGTATAAGCTTTATACAAGGTAAAATGGATTTATTTGGGGTTTGGACCCCATTGGGAGTTGGGCATCTGAGTGTTAAAGACAGGAACACTTCTTAAGCTGCTTTCAGTTAAGTCTGCAGCTTTGGGGAACGTGGTTCAGACCCTGGGTCTGTCTTGGAGCAGATTGGCATGTCTGGCTCAATAAGACGGGTACTGGATTCCCAGGCTGGCAGGGAAAGCAGGGGCAAAAGTAGTCTTGGCACATCAGCTGGCAGTTCCCAAGGGGGTTTCTGTGATCCAACCCGTCACACAACCCATCTGATATATTTGTATGACCCACATGACACATTGGAAATCTCCAGAATCTAAGCTTTAATTTTTATTTGTTTGTTTGTTTGTTTAAAATATTTTTTTGGCCTTTATGGCTGCAAGGAAAACCTTCCAAATGTGCCCCAAGTGTGACTAGTTCGGCAACATCTGCCTGAGTCTGCAGAGAGCCTGCAACGATGACCCCTAATGGTGTAAACTCCACTGCCCCTACTAAGCAAATCAGAGCATCAACTGTAAAGCTCATGGATAACACTTCAGTGACAACACTAGCTATTTAATCCCTGTGTGGCAAAAGTGCTTCCCCCACATAGAATTATAGAATCATAGGACTAGAAGGGACCTCAAAGGTCATCTAATCTCATCCCCTGCACTCATGGCAGGACTAAGTATTATCTAGACTGTCCCTGACAGGTGTTTGTCTAACCTGCTCTTAAAAATCTCTAATGACGGAGATTCAATAAACTCCCTAGGCAATTCATTCCGGTACTTAACTACCCTGACAGCTAGGAAATTTTTCCTAATGTCCAACCTAAACCGCCCTTTTTTAAACCCATTGCTTCTTGTCCTATCTTCAGATGTTAACGAGAACAATTTATCTCCCTCATCCTTCTAACAACCTTTTATGTACTTGAAAACAGTTACCATGCCCCCCCTTGGTCTTCTCTTCTCCAGACTAAACAAATCCAATTTTTTAAATCTTCCCTCATAGGTCATGTTTTTTAGACCTTTAATCATGTTTGTTGCTCTTCTCTGGACTTTCTCCAATTTGTTCACATCTTTCCTGAAATGTGGTGCCCAGAACTGGACACAATGCTCCAGTTGAGGCCTAATCAGTGCGGAGTAGAGTGTAAGGGTATGTCTACACTGGCAAGTTTCTACGCAACAAGTTATACAACTTTTATTAAAGTGCTGGAATTAAACTGCTGTTGCGTGTCCACACTGTGCTCCTTGTGACTGTGAAGTGCATCCACATTAGCAGCTCTTGCAACGGCAAAGAGAGCAGTGCATTGTGGTAGCTATCCCACTGTGCAACTGGCTGCAGGGTGCTTTGAGAAGGGTTTGCAATGCCTCATGGGGCAGGCACAGCGTCATATGATGCAGGTTTCTCAATCCCATTGTTCCATGGACATTGCCAGCTGCTTTTCAACTGAAGTGGGGGGGGGGGCAGTGTGTGTGTCTGTGTGTGTGTGTGGAGGGGGGAGTGACAGTGTGTTTGGGGGACAGAGAGTGTGTCAGCATCTTGTAAGTTCAGACAGAAGCAGGAACCAACCAGTCCCGAGGCAGGGGGAGGGGGATACCCCCGACATCAGCCTCCGCCTCCCTCCCCAGCAATCTGTCTCTCTCTCTCTCTTTCTCTCTCTCTCTCTCTCACACACACACCCCTCCCTCTGTGTTCAACAGCACGAGCATTCCATATTAATGGTTTGCTTTGTGTCTCCGAGCAGATCAGCACAGCACACAAGGGCTGTCAGAAACAGAGCCTTGAAAGGGGAGGGGCGCATGTCTCCAGGGCAGCCAAGTTCAAAAGAATGAGCAGAGCAGCCACTTAAGGGATTCTGGGACACTTCTGGAGGACAATCGATTGCTTTCTGCGCTGTAATGTGTTTACACTGCCAATACAGCGCTGGAGCCTCTGCACTTTAAGGCTTACGACTCTCGTCGAGGTGGTTTTTTGCAATGCTGCAACTGAGCTGTTTCTGCGCACTAAGTGGCTTGGCAGTGTGTACACCTTGGGAGTTACACCGCAAAAAGCTTCTTTACTGCGCAGTAACTTGCCAGTGTAGACAAGGCCTAAGAATTACTTCTTGTGTCTTGCTTACAACACTTCTGCTAATACATCCTAGAATGTTTGCTTTTTTTTGCAACAGTGAATCATGGCGTGTACAAATGCAATTTAGGTTGCATTAACAGAGTCATGGGAGGTGATAGTATCGCTCTACTTGGCACTGGTTAGGCCTCAGCTGGAGTACTGCATCCAATTTTGGTCACTGCTGTATAGAAAGGATGTAGAGAAACTGGAAAGGATCCAGAGGCGAGCAACAAAGATGATCAAAGGGATGAAATGCAAGTCAGATGGGTAAGGCTACGTTTTAGTCACGGGTATTTTTAGTAAAAGTCATGGATAGGTCACGGGCA